AGTGCTGTTATTGCAGTATTTCAGCGATAGCCTGACACCCCCTTAATATTGTCTGCGATTCTTTATATGTTGTAGGCATTGTTCAACGTCTAGAAAGGGCAATCTTAAAAGAAATCACTAATGACAGGTTGTAGATCTTGTTAAAAACCTTATTACATCTTGTGAATATTTGTAAATGTACATATTTCATTATGCATATTCACATTCACTCAGGCCTTCCAGGAAGCCTTAGTGAAGGCAATAACAAAGCAGATAAATTAGTTGCCCCTGCATGGGCAGGGTCCTCTGTAAATATTTTTCAACAAGCTCGAGCATCCCATGCCTTCTTCCACCAATCAGCAAAAATGTTAGCTTGACAGTTCGGCCTGTCCCTAACAGATGCCCAAGGCATTGTGCAATCTTGTCCCGATTGTCAAGGCCAAACAGTAGGTATAGGCCTTGAAGTTAATCCTCAAGGCCTCCAACTTCTCCAACTTTGGCAAACGGATGTGACTCATGTACCTTCTTTTGGGAAATTAAAATATGTCCATGTTACTATTGGCACCTTTTCTCACTTTGTCTGGGCCACTCCCCTGGTTGGTGAGACTGCACGCCAGGTAATCGTACATCTACGTCGTTGTTTTGCAGCTATGGGAGTACCCTCACAGCTAAAAACAGGCAATGCACCTAGCTATACCTCTTCAACACTTTCTAAATATTTGAATAATTGCGGCATTTCTCGTATCACTGGCATTCCTCATTCTCCTACAGGGCAAGCTATCATTGAACGAACACATCAAACTTTGAAACAGTTGTTGGAAAAACAAAAAACAGGGGAAGAAGGGTTTATGCCGGTGGCAAGGATACAGAAAGTTGTATATATTATGAATTTTTTGCAGTTGACAGGAGACGCTAATGACCCTCCTGCTATAATACACGGTCAGGCACTAGGTTCAGGTTATATGACTAAAACTCAGGGTATCCAGGTCCACTACAAGGATTTGGAAACAGCTATCTGGAAGGGTCCTGCAGAAATAAAACTAACTGGTCGAGGTTATATGTGTGTAATTACAGATTCTGGTTCGCAGTGGGTGCCAGCTTGGTGGGTGAAAACCTGGAAAGAGTCAGCGCCGCCCAAGGAGAGCCGGAATACCCCCCTTGTTGGTGATTGGATGAATCGACTGAATCAGCCTCGTTTAATTTGTCCAACCTGCGGGTCTTGTGAACCGTGGGTATTGCGCGAGTGTTTAGAGTGTAATCAGCAGTTATGGGTCAGACCTCCTCTTGCACAGAGTCCTTGTGAATGGTGTGTGCACCACGCGCTTACGCAGGCTCATGAATTGGCTCATATATTACTTGTTATAGGAACGAAGCAGGTCTTACACCTAGATATTTAGAAGGGGAATTTGAGTTGCAAAGACAGGCTTTGAAGTTCAGAACATCAATAGCTACTCTAAAGTTTGAATGTTCAAAGCCTCTACTGGTGCCATACATCTGGCAGGTCTCTCCCGAGCACTGGAAGAAAACTAAACATGATTGTCAGAAGCGATTTCAATGGAAATCATATAAAAAATGAAAATGAGGCTTGATATAGTGTGTGTGGTTGTGTGTATCTATGCATTTGTTTTATCACAAGTTGACACCATCTGGGAATCAATAGCAGAACGATGAAATATTTGGGTGACCATGGCAAATGCCACCGGACAGGACACTATTTGCCTCTCAGTATCCTCTGCGGGTAGCCCCTTTTGGACCTGTTTAGTAGGTCTTCCCAGCTGTAATCATATAGAGTCATTAGAGGGAGGTGTTCCTGCCCATGGCAGGGGGGTTCGAACTTGATGATCTTAAGGTCCTTTCCAACCCTAACTATTCTATGATTCTATGATTATGCAACTCAACACTTTCTGTACCCCAGGTGTGTAATAAGTGGTGTGATAACTGCAACGGCTGGATACCATATCTGCCACTTTTCCCCAGCGAGCCACAAGAAACAGAACTGTTAGGATCTGTAAAGATGGATTATTGTTTGTTTTTCAATTATTCTCGAACCAACATGTCTCGAGGGGTAGTCACTGTTAATGCTAGCATGCAGGTGTAGCATAATGCTTCCATCTGGTGCAATTATACCAGCCCTAATATATCAAGCTCTGAGTAAACCAGTAGGTTTACCTGCTGGCATATTTTTGATATGTGGTGATCGGGCCTGGCAAGGAGTGCCATCCAACATAAAAGTGGCCCCTGTATCATGGGAACCCTAGGTATGTTTCTCCCTAATAACACCATGATACTGAACAAGAGAAGATCATGATCTCGAAGGTCAACACACACTTTCCAACCAAACTGTAATGACAGAATAGATTTTTTGAACCCAGGTGAAATAATAGCTGCTTCATTCTCAGCTCCTGGATTAGCTAGTGCTCAAGCTTTAGCAACATTGAATAAGTTAGGATGTTGGCTTGCTAAACAAACTAATGCTACAGCATCCACTCCCTCTGCATTACTCACTGATGTTGATTCTATTAGACACGCAACTTTGCAAAATAGGGCAGCAATTGATTTTCTCATCTTAGCAAATGGGCATGGGTGTTAAATTTTGGAAGGAATGTGTTGTATGAACTTGTCAGATCACTCAGAATCTATACATGAAAGTATCCGTAAGTTGAAAGATAATGTGATGAAGTTAAGAGAAGATGATAAAGATTGGCTATCATCACTTTTTTCTGGCTGGCGTATAACTGGAAGGTTATTAGTCTCGGTCAAAGGAGGACTGATCCTGTTGCTTGTCTTTTTTGCCATTATCTGTATTGTACCTTGTTTGTTACAATGTATTCAACGTATGAAGTGTGTTTGGCTTGTGAAACAAGAAAAAGGGGGAGATGTGGATGGATTTTTAGCAAAGAATGTCCATGTTCCCAAGTCAGCAAGTGCCTACGTGGAGTTTGACATGAACTGGATAAAGGATAAAGGAGGATGTGGGTAAGGAAGCATGAGTAACGGTGCAAGTAAGATAAGAAAAACTGGGATGTGCTAAGATACAAAACAGTGAACTGTAGGCAAGTTTTAAGGGTTAGGTTCCCATGTTCTTATTTGACCAATTGTATACTAGTTGCCGTGAGCTGCAAGAATATGTATCCAATCATAATACACCAAGTTATTGTAAGCAGATGCAGACAATAGTATAAAAAGGATAGATGCTTTGTAATAAATGGCTTTTGTCTGATCACATTGATTTCTGACTGAGTCCTTTTCTGTGGCAATTACCCCAGGGCTGCCAAGTCCACCACTAAATCGTGTCACTAAGAGCGTTGTGGATACTACCACTCAAAACCAAGTTCTAGACTATGAAGTCCACGTTACTAAAAGAGGTTAATTCGGTATACAACCTGCCTTTCTGAACCAGTTCTAATTTAGATAATAAGTATGAAAACAGGAAGACCTATATAGTCCATTCTGAAACCTTTAGGATAAATTTTAGCATATCTCTTAAATACTGTGCAGCACACACAAGATTTTTGTGCACCCACATAACTGACATGGATGAGTCACTGCACTGTGCAACTTCTTACTTGAACAATAACTTGTTCCTGTACAGCCTTAAACTCCCCAATACACTTGTAATAGTTCTTACTCCAGTAAGGCCTTCTGATGCTGTTTCCCGTAACACCCTTACAGATAAGTTCTTACTATATGGGCTGGATGAGCAGACTGTTCAGCCAAGGCTCAGGGGGATCTTATTGATGCACAGACAGACTCCACAACTTGTTAAAGTTGTAAAGTAGGTATGCTTTATTCAGCACTGAGGCCCATGGGGGATAGTTCCTCCAAAAGCATGTGCATCTCAGTGTTGTTTCCCCTTTATCCTCTAAAGTTATACATATGCATGGGGTTGCACAACATGCCTATACATATTCATGTCCTATCCCCACTTCGTATTGTACTAAGAAGTCCTTTGCGCCTGCGCAGTGCCTCCTGGTGGTCATGGGCGAGGGTCTCAAGATGAAGTAAACGATGCTTTCTCAAGCCAGAACTTTTCACATCTAGTCTTTACGCATGCTCCCTGGAGGCTTGGTCTTTGTCCAAAGCACAGAGCTAATTTCAGCTGGCCTAGGCGTCTGAAGGACTGGAATCAAGTCACGGTCCCTACTTCTTAACAATAGCTATGTCCTTATGTCTAGTTCTAGCATACATGGAGGTGTCCAAAGGATGGGAATCAAGACATGGTCCCTACTTCTTGACAATAGCTATGTCCTTATATCTTGTCCTAGCATAATCGTGAGTGAGCAGTGATATTGTTAAGCAGGCGTCCTGATCTATCCCCTTGTACATTGTAAGTATGATAAGCATGAGTAAGTAACATCATTAAGTAAGCAGTTTGACCTATCCCCTTGTACATTGCAAATACCATGTACATAAGCATGAGCAAGCAGTAACATTGTTAAGCAAGTGGCTCAGCCCTAGCCCCCCTGTACATTTGTTAACCCTTTGCGTCATTATCAACATCTTTGACTACCTGACCAGGGGCACAAAGTAGATGGAGCCAGAGTCTTACCAGTGGTGCCCAGTGGCAGGACCAGAGGCAGTGGGCACAAACTGAAACACAGAAAGGTCTATGTGAACATCAGGAAACACTTTCGTTTCCTTTGAGAGCAACTGAACTTTGTAGTTTGCCCAGAAAGATCCATCCTTGGCAATAGTAAAAACCTACCTAAGCATGGTACAGGCTCTGAGTGGCCCTATTTACACATAGGGGTTGGACTAGGTACTTCCAGAGGTTCCTTCCTACCGCAACCCTCCATGATACTACAAGAACGACAATATTCCGGGGATTTCATCATTCACGAGACTCTGACAGACTGTAACTCTACGTGTCACGAACGGAGGCCTGGATTAACCAGGCAACGGATCCCACTGTCCACACGCCTCCTGCCTCACTGCGGCAGGCTGGCGGCGTCGCGCATGCGCTCTGTTCGCAGAGACGTAGTGCCCTCCATGCGCCGCGAGGGGGCGCTGCAGGGAGCCAGCACCGCTCGGCTCCGCCCCGGAAGCGTTCCTAGGTGACGGCTGCCCCGGGCCGGCAGTGCTGCGGGGGCTGGTGGCTGCAGGGAAGTGGCGCTGCTATGGAGCACATCCGCACCACCAAGGTACCTCTGTCTCGGCTTCTCTTTGTCGGCTGCGGGCACGGTCGGTAGCTCAGTGATGGTGCTGCCGGCGCTGCACAAGTAGGGAGGGCCTGTTCGGCCCGGCGAGCCCCTGCACCGCAGCTGTCAGCTGTGGGTGACGGCGTCGTTGTCCGCCGCCTTCCATTTTGTAGCTGGTGTCTTCCCGCGAGTGGCTTCGGGGCGGCCCATGCTTATGGGGGTATCCTGGTAGCGGGGTGCTGGTGCCGCGGGGCTCCGGGCACCTGCCTTCTTGGAGGCTCCTCCGTGTTTCCCTCCTCACGGGGCTGGAAGGTGTGAGAGCTCCCGGGCGGGGCTCGGAGCGTGCCTCCCCGGTGTGGCCCTGCAGAGTGAACCGTGCCCTAAATGACGGGAAGGCGATAAAAATCTTCTGGTGTAATAGGGGTGGGGAAGAAGCAGCAGCCAGCTGGAGACGGCTGCAGTTGGCTTTTGTATTCTGGATGCGGTTCCATGCAGCTTTTCCTAGCTCTGGAGGCAAATAGGCTGTGAGGACAACATTGTTTTCTTTCTTTTTTTCCTTCCTTTTAAAGGCTGTGGTGTGTGTTGTTAGGAACGGAGGCTGTCAGTATGCGTGCAATGTGTTAGGCTATTCAAAAACATTAGCTAAGCCGTAGTTGGCACTTTAGGGTTTTCTGGGCCTTTTTTCCTATTTTTAGTTAGTTTGTTTTTCCTCTGTATTGAAGATGTAAAAAAGGTCGTTCTTTCTGTAAATATATATTTATTTTTTTATGTCATAGGTTTTATAGAATTACTTTTCTAGCAGTGGCTTTCTCATCTTGCTCATCGGCCCTTACTGCGAGGGCTGCTAAAAAGACTGCCTCTCTCTGTCGGGTTCCGGAAACTGTCAAGTGATTAGTTCCCTAACTTGGCAGTCCTGACTTTAAATGAGATGTATACGTGTGTGAAGAAAAGGAGTGGTCATATTTCAGCTCTAAATAGTTGTTGTTTAGCCAATAATTATATAAAAAAACCAGTATTTTCTATTAATACCTTATTTTTTAGGTGAAATGTGAGTAACTAGTGTTTTTTTCATATATATTTGCATGTCTATATGTGAAAAAGGAGGTCTCTGATGAAGCTGCTCTTAGTGACACGTGACATCTAGTAAACTAGATTACTGGATGAAATAATCTTGCACCAAGATCACAGATTGGAGATAAGGTTTTTTTTTGGAGATAAGGTTTTTTTTGTCAGCCTATTCACTTGTAAACCTGAAACTCCTTGTTTCGGAGCTTAAGAATATGGCAGTCAATAGCTAACTTCAGGATAAAATCTAAAGCTAAAGTCTTTTGATGATCTGAGTGTGTAAGTTTAAAACTTGAAATTGAGACTGGAAAGGTGCAGGTCACTGAATTCTTTCTATTTGTAGATAATTGTGTTTCTGCAGGTTGTTGTTTCCCTGCTGGGGAAAAAATACTTTTGCATCATTATAACTGGAGAGAGAAACAAGGTCTGAATTCAACTTTTACAAAACTTACTGCTTGAAGCAAGTATTTTTATAATTCGTTAAAAAAATAATCTGTTCTAAAAGTATCAAATTCATGGCTAGAAATAGCATGAGGATTTGGTTATAATTGTGATGCTTGCTTAGCTTTTTGTATCTGTTAGTTTATTTAATATCCAGGTGGATTAAAAAGCATATATGCTAGATGGTAGTAATTCCAAGCTTTACAGTTACAGGAAGTAAGAAAACTAAAGTACAGCCTGCACTGTGAGCCTTAAAACTTCAGTGCATGTGCAGGTTCAAGTTGGATCTCATTGAGACACATTTACTTTTTCTAATCTGACAACACTTAACATTTTTGGTTTGTTTTTTTTCTGTTTGTTTTATTAAAGTAATAATGAAATAAGCTTGAAATAACAGTACAGTCTTGCACAGATTAGCTGCTGTCCAGGGAAGCTGTCATCCCTTAGGGAATGTGATGAAACAGGTTTTATTCTTCCTCAAACTTCAGTTTGCTGGAAATGTTGAAGTTAGAATTGTCCTGAAACTGCCCACACAGCTCTCTGAAATACAGTTTACTTACTGTGAAATTAGACTGTCCAACAGATTTATGTTGAATAAAGAAACGAGATCAACATCGTAATAACTTCTGTCAGAGAAATTTATACTTAAATAGCAACAAATGATGAAAGCCAGTTCACAATATGGGGTAGTGAAATTACAAGTAAGAATATTGTGGTTTTGCAATGAAGCTTTAAAACTGAAGTGTCCTTAAAAATACTTTAAAGCAAAGCAAGGCAGAAAAGACTCTAATTTCTTCAGTCAAGTCTAGATTTATACTTGAAAGCAGACCTGTTTTAGTTAAAATACTGATGGGTCTTCTATTGAGGATGGAAAGTTTTGCTTAGCTTGACTGCTAAATCCTAAACTTACGTTTGCAAGACTGAGACTTGAATGGTAACGGAAAATGCATTTTAATTTCAGCGAATGTCAAGTAAAAGAATCCTGAAATAACATAACCCTTGGGATTCTGTGCTTCTGTAATAATTGTTTTGTCTTGGATTAATTGTTCTAATTTAACTCTTCAGCTTTTTTGATACAAGACTTCAGAAGTATAGTTTCAGCCTTCCTTTCTATTCTAACTTGTCTCCTATATTGAAACATTTCCTTGGGTTTTTTGCCTTTGGCCTGTAACTCTTAATCCCAATAAACTGTTCAGTGACTCATTCACTGTACGTGCTCTATATTATTGAGGTAGCTGTTGAAATTCTTACTGGTTTAGAAACTCAACGAATTTGTTATTGCTAGCTGCTGTCAGATGTCAGTTGCAACTAAAAATGCTTGTTGCAAATATGCTAAAACTCAATAGCAGTCTTCAGTTTCTTAATGTTGTGAACCCATTCTCTGAACTGATGACTGACATGTTTTTCTGTAACTTAAGGATTTGCCAAACTTTACAATTAAAAAGAAAGCGCATGTCTAGCTGAATACCTGTTAAAGCTGGCTTGGGGTAAATTTACATGAACATGTAATCTGTGGAGGCTGAATCTGAATTACGTTTTGGTGGTGTTTAAAGATTCTTGAAGATTTCACCCATGTAAGAGCAATCTGGAGCACTAATGCCTGTCCTTATCTAACACAGAAATACAGCTTTCAGAATAGCTGCCTTGTTACATGGAGGAAAATGGAACCTCACATGCCTGGGTTTTGTGGGTTGTGTTACAGAAACAAAACCAGAGCAATTTCTGTGGACTTCTCAATTTGCTGAGGAGGTGCAGTGACAGGTACCTGAGCAGTCACTGCTGCAGAACTGTCCAAAATAGAACTCTGTTTTGGCTGTGCTATACTGATTTATGCTACTCTGTATCTGAGCGATGTAACCTTGCTGATTACAGCATAATGTATTTTGAGGTACTGATGCATGTAGCTTCCAAGTATTTATTTTTGCTTTTTAAATTGAAACCTAGAGTATCATAGTGTCACTGGATTTTAGTTGATGTTTGTATTTCCTATGTTGTTTTGTATGCATTAAGTGGCTTTTCTAACTTTCAGACACAAAATCAGGCCTTGCTAGATTGTAAAAAATACCAGAATTGATAAGGCAGTTTTGTGTAATTATACATGCTTTTAGTAGATAAATAAGTTTGTACATGTGAATTACAAGCGGCTTAACATCAGCACAGTAGATATGAGCTGTATTAATCCCTTCATCTGAGTGCTGGTCTTGCTGGTGTGGAAGTTTTTTTGAGTTCTATCACCCATTTAATGTCAGTAACAGCAAGCCTCAAGCAAAAGAGCTTTAACTGGGCATTAATGGCACAGTGCTGCCAAGAAATAGAGGAATGTGTGGAGATAAGCCATGCTCCTTTCCTGTTTTTGCATGTAGAGAATCATGTAATGTTTTCTTCAAATAAAGCAAACTGTGGAGCCTGTGAAGTTATAAACAACAGATAAAAAGCAGGCTATCTAGAAATCATTTTAATTGCTTTCTATAGGATTGAGATAACAATGTTGATGGAATACCAGGAGGAGAAATTTGCCCTTGCAAGAATCAAGCTTGAAACTCCAAATGGCAGTCCTTGAATTTCTAGGCGATTATTAAAATTATTAGAATTCCAATAGTATTTTATTTTTGACTGAGGCAAGGTTATGGTGATCTAGATTTTTAAAGTTGGTGAAGACATAAAAGACAGTAGATACCTAAAATCGAAGTCCGGAGGGACATCATTTTTATGGCTTTGAGTCTGCAGAGCCAATGAAACATGTTACGGAGATGAGCTCTTAATTCATTCAGTGCTGACATCTCAGTAACAGGAAATTGTTAGTGTTTGTTTGCTGTTTTGGGGAAGGAGTCTAAAAGCTTATTAATGTTCTTAATTATTTAAAAAAAAATTGGTATCTTGGTCTGTTTTTCTAGTAAGTAACCATGGTAGTTACGTACGTGGATTAAGTATTCAGAGTCTAGCATTGTGCCTTCATTATTCACTTCTGTACTGAAACAGGATGTTGTAGCTAGTCAGTCTTCTCAAAGCTTGTGTGACCACTATTGTATTCTTAATAGTTTAGCCTGAATATTTGTATGTATGCTCTGTTATGCTTTCTACTGTTTTCTACCGACAGACCTTTTTGCAGTTACTATTTTGCTTTGTGCAAAAAAACCCACCCCAAAATTAACTTTTGCTCCCCCTCCTTTTTTTTTTCTTTTTTTTTTCTTTTTTTTTTTCAGGTTGAGCAAGTGAGATTACTGGATAGGTTTAGCACAAGCAATAAGTCACTGACGGGAACTCTATACCTTACAGCAACTCATCTGTTATTCATAGATTCAAGCCAGAGAGAGACATGGGTAAGGATAATGAATGCTTGCACCTCAGAAGCTGAGGTTCTCCAGCTGCATTTGTGTTTCCTGATCTAAGGTTAAATTTGTTTACTGAAATGTTCATCGAAGTTATAAGTTATTCCCCACACTCCCCTTGTTCGTGAGATCATAAGTTAACGATTTATGGATTGTACTCTTGCATGACACTGCTGCAGTTGAAATTGGGTATTGTTGAAAATGTTCACTTCTCAAGCTGCTGTAATTTCTTCTGTAGCCTTCATTTGTGTTCCTGAATGTGTGGTGGTTTTCTTTGAATAACTGACTTGCACCACAATTCAGAGGCGGCAGTAGGAAACTGATAGGTAGTTTCAGCATCAGGTTTAAAATTTCTGTGTTAACTTACTTTGTGTTTAGAGTCTGCCTAAGTTAAATGAGACAGAAAAATCAAAAGATCTAGGCTTTTATGAAATACTGAAGATTCCATGTCCTTTTTTGAGTGGCAAGCAGCAGTTTCTTCCGAAGTCATCATCTCTGGAATAGAATGATGCAGAAGGGGCTTCAGCTTTTTGGTGACCCATGCCAATGTTGTGCCATCAAAGTTGGCTAGTACAGTGATTCCCATTAGCTTTTCTGTTCAGGGCCCTAATGACACGCATGTGGACATCAAGGTCTGGCTTTCCCTGTAGCTCAGCTACCTGGCCAAATGAGTGCCTGTCATCCTTCAGGATGAAATTTCATTTCCCTGGGTGTGGTTAATTTTTTTCCTGTAGGTATATTTTTCTGGTTTAGCCTTCATCCTGTATCCTGGTTGTCCAACTAGGTGCTTCATGGTGCTTTCAAGAAATTATTTTTCTCCAATTTGTTCTTGGGTACAATGTACAATTTTATACAAACCAAATTGTATCCTTTCAGGCAAAATGGGTTACTGGGGAGAGAACATGATTCAGAATCATTATTTGTGTCTCCCTGTGCACTATGTTAAAATGTTTCATTTTGGGGAAATTGTGCCTGCATTCAGATTACTGCGTTTCTGTGGTCATAATGGAAGCACCAAGTATAATTACGATAATGTCTTCAAGATAGTTTCTTTGTAAGTGCATATTTGGCAGCATAATTTTCAGATGCCTATCTAATTCTGATCAGTATTCAAGAGAAGATGATTGTTTCTGTGAGGTAATTAAAATTCTACAAGAAGTAATGTATCTGTGGCTTTCTTCCTGTGATTGAACAGTTGTTAGTTTCCTAAGTGTTACATAAATTTGCCACAAAGATAAATCTATCAAGGGCTTTTGTATATCCATTACTGACAGTCTTCAATAAAGTGGTTGAAAGGCAAAATTTAGCTGATTGTCATGTCTACATAACACAACGGATAGTACAGATGTTTTTCTTATCTCCTGTTCATTCTGTAGATGTTGAGTACTAGCATTCTAAAATCTTCATCTTCTGTATCTTACATTTCGAATTGCTTTTCCTGGCTTGTTCTGTTTTGCCTGAAAATTCTGAAATATGTTCCTATAGATCCTTAAAATAAAAAAGCATCCTGTTTGGGTCCTGCCTAATTAGAAGTAAGCTTGTCAGTTAAAAAAGTTACAGAGGAGTAGCCACACTTTTGGATTTAGAAGGTTGTTTATTATTCCTTACAAACATTAGGTAGCACTTCAGAATATGAAGTGAGAGAATAACTGTATTTTGAAAAATTATATCCTGACCAAAATGCCAGTCTTGGATTTCTTCTTCTAAATTTATTTCTTTTTATAACTAAATGATTGACAAAATCAGTCGAAATCCATATTCATCATAGCTTAATGTGCCTTACATCTATTCTTGTAAACAGTACGTATGCTGTTCTCATTTTTCATCAGTGTGCTAACACTGAGGTTTTATATGCTGCAGATATTGCATCATCACATTGCTGTAGTGGAAAAACTTCCCTTGACTACTTCTGGCTGCCCTCTTGTCATCCAGTGCAAGAACTTCAGGATAGTTCACTTTGTTGTTCCCAGGGAGAGAGACTGTCATGACATTTATAACTCTTTGCTTCAGCTGTCAAGAACAGGTAATACTTCGAACTGTAAAAGACTTTGCAGTATATACCTGAATGGTGGTGGTGGTAAATCTGTGGCTCTTAATATTTTATTTTTTTATGTGCATTATGTAAAAGTCAATAAATGGGTTTGGTATGTAGAGGAATTTTAATGGTTAAGTATTCATTTCCATACAAATTCAGAAGATGTGTTGTCTGGCTCTTGTAGGTCGCTGGTCTTCACTAAGGGAATGTGAGATTCCTGTATTGTTTTGCCTTTCTAGTGTTATTCCTAAAATTGTGACTGTTAGTGCATATAGTCTCTTAATTGGTGTGCTCCATGGATAAAATGCTTGTGAAGTTTTCTAATAATTCTGCCCATTGCCTTGTTTAATTTTGTCAGTTTCCTTTTTGTGACTGCCCTCTGCTTTACCCATATGGAATTAGAAATGTCCCTGCTGAAACAGGTCATGCACACTCAAGAAAGCTCTCATAATCTACCTTTAACTAAGTATCTATAATTGTCAGTTAACTGTATGATAAATATATGAAGAGTGTCAAGTATCTATTTAGTCTTGCTTCTGAGAATCCCAAAGCCTGAAACTTTCTCTGCAGTTTGGGCAATTTCAAGACGTGCAAGCTGTGCTGCTTTTCTCCACTCAGACCTTTCTGGGGACAACTCATTACTTAGTCTTATTCTTTACCTTTTAGCAAAATATGAAGACCTGTATGCCTTCTCTTATAATCCAAAACAAAATGAATCTGAGCAAGTCAAGGGCTGGCAGCTTATTGATCTAGCAGAAGAATATAAGAGAATGGGAGTGCCAAACGCAAACTGGCAGTTGTCTGATGCAAATCGTGATTATAAGGTGAGTGCTGTAATGGAAATATGTTTTGCTTTGCATTTGTTTCTGCTCTTTCCTCTGACTCTACGCCTGTAGAAAACAATCTAATACTATGAGTATGCTTACCTGTTTGAAGACAGTCTGGTGCTCTGCAACGTTGTTACCTCTTAACTAAGGATTCTGCTTGAGCATTTGCAGTGTTGGCTGTGGGCGACAGTGGCTGTGGTGGTGCAGCCAATTCCCAGATTAATTTTCATTTTACTTTATAGTCTGCAAATACTAAAAATGAGGGAAATAATGTCAATATTTTATTTGAAACAAAGTCGTAACATTTCTGCTGAAGTGGCATTCTTGAGAAGTGAGTGCAAGTATAGCAGTGCTTAACTGTGTAACTTGGGTAACAATTTGTACTACTTTATCTGTGGCTTGTCTCCTCTTCCGAGCTGTTTCTGTATATATAAAGAAACATGTTAGTGTTTAACCTTTGCCTTATTTCACCTACAATCCCTCAAATTGGATACTATATTAGTATAGGCTTTGTGCCTTGTACATAAAGTTTGGTTTGTGTGTCTGTCTCTTTCAGATTTGTGAAACCTATCCCAGAGAACTTTATGTTCCCAGAACTGCAAGCAAGCCCATAATTGTTGGTAGCTCCAAGTTCAGAAGCAAGGGAAGGTTCCCAGTTTTGTCATATTATCATAAAAATAAAGAGGTATGGTGTGTGTTCCTCTTAATACAAATGTACTGAAGAGTATTTCTTAGTATTTGGCAGTAGTTCAGGATGGGCAAGGGGGTAAGTACAGTGACATGTATGAGAATGGTGTAACTCATGATAACCTTAAATACAGCTGATGCTAGTAGTGTCTAACAGGCTCTTGAATTAAGCTAAGCCAGGTTAAAAGAAATCCTTAAGTAATCAGTTGAATCTCTTAAAGTTTTCAGAGACTGACCTTAAGATAAATGAAAACAGCTTTTTGTCAAGTGATCTGTCTTCCTTGATATATTAAGAATAAAATCTGTTAGATCAAATACTCGTGCCTCCCCCTACCAAGAAAACCCCAAAACAACAACAAACCCCCCCCAAAAAAAACAACCAAAAAAAACAAAAACCCCACAACAACAGGAAAAACCCCAACAACAAAACAAAACAATAAAACATCACAAAAACCTCACCAAAACAATAGCACTGGTTTGGTGGTGTGGTGGTTTTTTGTTTTTTTTTTTTTTTGTTTTGGTTTGGTTTTGTTTCTGTGTTGTGGGGTTTTTTTGTTTGTTTGCTTGTTTGTTTGAGCAATTTGCAAAAACTAGAGGATGATAAACAAGATTTTGCAAGGTGTGGTAGAGTGATATGAAGCAGCATCTGCCCTGTCTTGGCTAGGGGCATTATCTTTGAAGGGAGAGAAGGGCTGTCGCCCTGCTGAGTTGAAGAATTTGATGGATGAGAGCTAAGCTACTGGGTGCATTTGAAGATGATAGTTATTTGTAAGATGTACCTGGTGCCTTAAGAAATGCAATATATGACTGAAAATGACATGGTGAAAATTACATTAGATGATAACATATTGTACTTGCAATAATAAAATTGTATTTGCAGTAGTAAACCCATAATTTATATAATACTAAGAGAGCAACTTGCTTTCAGAAAGTGTATTTTTTCCGGCCTATACTTTTTTGAACTTTTATACTTGGGGAAAGCATATATAAACTGGTACTTGCCGACGTAGATGAGCCTGAAAAAAAGTTTTGATAAAGTTTTTAAGTTGTAGGTACTGTGTGTGAAGGTCTGCAAGCGATGTGTTTAAAAAAAGTTAGAACACCTAAACTTTTTTTAGCTTAATGCTGTTATCTGCCAAATGAAACAACTTGTTTCAGCGTCTTTTTAGAAGGATGCAAAGCATTTCAGCTACAGGTATTAATTTTATCTTTGTTTTGTGTGCTAGGCTGCAATTTGCAGATGCAGTCAACCTCTCTCAGGTTTCAGTGCCAGGTGCCTGGAAGATGAACACATGTTGCAAGCCATCAGTAAAGCAAATCCTTCAAATCGCTACATGTACGTCATGGACACCAGACCAAAGGTACATACGTATTTGAGGCTCTACAGACTTGCCTGTCTTCCTGAACATAAGAGTACAGGGTTACAGTGCAATTCTGAAAAAAATTAGTTAAGTAGGACTCTATCATGGGCAAAAATGTTCTTTAAAGGTAAAGTTAAGCTTCACTAGTCAGGTATTTAATTACTTTTTTTTCTTAATGAAGTTGAATCCCTTTCAGGATTCCACTAGAATTCACTGAGTATGCTGCTGAACTTCTGAAGAGGTGTATTTAAAAACATGCTAAATTTAACTAAGGAAGATATAGGGGAAGTTCTTATGTAGCATTCTGAGGTCATCATAGAATCATAGACTGGTTTGGGTTAAAAGGGACCTTAATGATCATCTAGTTCCAAATCCCCTGCCATGGGCAGGGACACCTACTAGACCGGGTTGCTCAAGGCTCTGTCCAGTCTGGCCTTGAACACTGCCAGGGATGGGGCAGCCACAGCTTCTCTGGACAGCCTGTTTCAGTGCCTCACCACCATACTTCATCCCTGTCTAATTAAACTGAATTATGTTGGCGGAGGGGGGGGGGGGGGTGCCATGTGTTGGATTGTGGGGTAAGTCACTGTAGAATCATCTGCTTTTAAATTAGTCTTCATTTTACTCAAATCTCTGAATGCAGGAAAAACATATCTGGAAAACAAGTATCTAAAGTGAAAATCCTGCACTGTAGGATCTGCACTTATTTTTCAGCATTAAATCAGGCTGACAGACTGAAACTGAGCCAACTGTTGTTTTTTATAATTGTAATTTTTATAGCTGCAGCAATTTATTAGCTTCTTACCTCTAAACCCAACGTTTTTAGGATGCCTGGAGAACACATTTGATTAGGTCTGGGCCTTTCAATTTTTAGGTTAATTTCTTCGTAGTGGTTTTGCTCAGAAATAAGTAAAGCTTTACTAATGGAAGTACAGAGGAGAGAATAGGAAACCATTAAATGCATTATTCAGATATGTCAACTCTAAACACAGACTGACTCTTACTTTTTATATACTGTGCCTCTTTTACACTTGAATGCTGTCAAGTTGATTTGCCACAAACCTTTAATTCATTGGATTCTGCTTATCATATGTGCTCTTGTGTGTTTCTTTTCCCAGTGTATTCCACTGAAATTCTATGACTGTGTTTTCTTAATTTGAGAGTTTTTTTGTTTCAAGTGATGTTTTTCAATATTTTTATTTTGCTCTTTTAAGCTTAATGCAATGGCAAACAGAGCTGCTGGGAAGGGCTATGAGAATGAAGACAACTACTCTAACATTAGGTTCCAGTTTGTTGGCATTGAAAATATTCATGTAATGAGATCCAGCTTACAGAAACTTTTGGAAGGTATGTTCTAACTGTGCTATAACAGCGTATATGAAAACAGGATAAATATTTTTCTTAAGTTTTTCATAATAGCTTAACCAAATTTTATTGATATTCCTATATTTTACTCCAGCTTTGTGTAGTACCAGTTTGCTGTGATCTGTGATAATGAATTACCTTAAACCGAGTTTAAATAAACTCGGTTTTAAACAAAATCATGAGTAGTATCTTTAGTTGGTCTTCAGATCAGGTTTTGGGGTAAATTAACACAGTTCTACTTCAGTCTGTATAATTCACTGAATTTTGCTGAATGCCAGTCTAGTAGTAGAAAGTATCCTTCGGGTCAAAGAAGAAGACATATGCAATAACTTACTTCTCAGACCCTTGCAGAAATATGCCATCAGTGGACTGATCAGGAAGGAAATGCTATGAAAATGATTCATAGCTCAAAATGAGGAAGATGTCTTTTTAACTTCTAGCTTCCCCAGACGTGCTGAACTGAATGTTCTCAAATTAGGAATGTGATGCCAATGACCCTGTTAGTTCAACAGCCATTGTAACCAGCACTGTCCTCAGTTTTATTTATAAAAAACTACTGTTATTTATTGATCATGTGTCCTGCTCCTTGGCTCTTTGTCTATTTGCCTGATTAGCCCTCAGAATTGAACAATTACGTTTACAAGCAATATGTAAGACATAATCCTTCCCAACAAAATTTTGTAATGGGAGTACACCATGAAGCATACTACGGGGATTTACAGTCTATTCTTTGATTCAGCTGATTTTTATTGCACTGAATACAGGATATTTAAAAACTGTTCTTAAGTAGTGTGTCAGTGTGGACATGATGACTCTGCTCCCCTGTTGGGCATCTGTACAACAGCAGCGGAAAAATCATAGAATCATGTAATAGTAAGTTTTGGAAAAGACCTTAATGTCATCAGTTCCAAGCCCCCTGCCATGGGCAGGGACACGTTGAACTAAGCCATGTTGCCCAAGGCTCTGTCCAACCTGGTCATGAAAACTGCCAGAGATGGCAGCTTTGCAACAGAGATTCACAGCTTCCTTGGGCAACCTGTTCCAGTGCCTCACTACCCTCACAGTAAAGATCTTCTTCCTTATATCCAATCTAAACTTCCCCTGTTTAAGTTTTAACCCGTTACCCCTTGTCCTGTCACTACAGTCCCTAATGAACAGTCCCTCCACAGCATCCTTATAGCCCCCCTTCAGATACTGAAAGGCTGCTATGTAGTCTCCACACAGCCTTCTCTTCTCCAGGCTGAACAGCCCCCACTTTCTAAGCCCATCTTCATATGGGAGGTGCTCAAGCCCTTGATCATCCTTGAGGCCCTTCTCTGGATTCGTTCCAGCAGTTCCATGTCCTTTTTAATTTGAGCACACCAGAACTGCACACAATACTCCAGGTGCGGTCTCATGAGAGCAGAGAGGCAGGATCACCTCCTTTGACCTGCTGGTCACGCTCCTTTTGATGCAGACCAGGATACTGTTGGCTTTCTGGGCTTAGAGTACACACTGCTGGCTCATGTTAAGTTTCTCATCAGCCAACACCCTGAAGTCCTTCTTCTCACGTAGACTAAATTTTTGGCTGTGGTGTTAAAGTCTAGTTTTCATATATTCAAAAATACAGTACTGTGTGTCAGAGAAGATTGAACTCTGGTAAGCAAAAAGGTTTTGTCTGTCAAAACCCAGCATTTTTGCAGGAAATATTTGAGGAAGAGACTCAATAGCTGCTGTGGTTTGCCAAGTATGTTTTGATGATGGAAGTGTGTTAACGAAGAGGGGTTTTTTGAGGGTCGTGTAGAGTGGCTGTATGGGGTTGTTCAGGGTTTTTTCATTTGTTAAAAACAATCTCTGCTTCCGACCCACTGTACTTCAGTCTGCAGGTTCTAGTCACCTCTTGAGCTGCTGCATGAGGCATTGCTAGTTGTATGTTAAGGACAATCAAGCAATGGAACATAGAGGTTTTGGGTCTCAGATGCATTCAGGGCATGTGTCTATGATAGGATCCATATAGCCAAAACTGTCTTAAATGATAGTTATTTTGAAGTAGCTAAAGATCTTAGTAGTACTATAAATCATATTTCAATCTTTTAGGGAGCGTAAGGGACTGGAGAGGTGTGGATTGGGTGTACCCCCCCAGCATTTTAACTGTCAAAACAGTGTCAGTGCAATTTCTTTGTTTCGTCACTAACAAGTATAAAAATGTCTGTTAACTCAGAAATGGAAAGTAATTCTTCGGACTCAACACGTGTTCTTATCTCTGCCTTGGCCTGAATACAGAAGAAAATACAGAAGTCTGGCTAGAATGGGGAAATGCTAGTGGTGAAATACTTTTACCCAGCTAAAAATTCTGATGAAAGAAGATTTTGACAGCAGTGTCTGGGTGAAAACAAACTGAGGGCTGGAAGCCTGTTTATTTTCCAGCTAAAAGCTTGTGCTTTAAACTACAAGGTACAGAATGTAGGGGTAGGCATTGCCTTGTCTGTCCAATCCCTTCCATCCATGCAGATGTTTGAATTTACAGACATCTGAATATTTTCATTATCTTTACCATGGAGTTGTGTACAGGTTTGTGTACTGTTGTGATTGAACAAATGTACAGAACCACTGGTGTACAGAGAGTGTGAGCTATCTGAATGGATCAGATCCTTGGCTGATTTCATCGATGTGCTAGACCTTTCAGAAGCACACTTGACTGATGCTGCTGTCTCTTTCAAAGACTAGGGAAAACTAACATAGGTTTTGCTGCTTTTACTGATATTTACAGATTAACATTTAAAATTTGGTTGTCTGCCAGGGTTTCTTGATGTTTTGTTACCTCATTGTGCTGTGGTTTGCTAGATAGTTTGTAGATGACAAAGATCCAAAGACTTTAGAAAAGGTGCTGGAATGCTTACTTGGAAAGCCTGTCTTTGTTACAGCATTCAACAGCAATTGGCACTCTTCTGAGCAATGGGGAGTATACCAAAGCTTTCATGGCTGAAAGCTGAGAACCATGTAGTGCAGGAAAGGTCCAGGAGGCAGTGGTTTGAGAGGTCATAGCCTTCATTAGGTTAGGGGATTTGACTGAACGTGAAATTGTGTCACAGAATGACTTGGTGAATTTTGTTCTCCACTTTCTCTGCTGATTCACTTCTTCCCGTAGTCAGAGATAAAGATTATTTTGTGGCTGCTGTCTGAATATCCCCACTGATAACTTTTGGCTACAGAGCCTTCTTATTTCAATTTGGGGTGCACTACCTTAGAATTGGAGAATTGTTTTAGTTGGAAAAAGACATTTAAATCAAGTCCAACTGTTAAGCTTGGTAGAAAGCAGGCTTCTACTGTGGCAGGGGCAGGTAGTGATGGAGATGGCAAGCTCGAGTATCTTCTTTTAGAATCGCATGTAGCTGAAGGGATTCTACAGGTACATAGCAAATAAAAAACAGACTAGGGAGAACGTAGGCCCCCTCAGGAAGCTCTCAGCTGAACTAGCTACACAGGATTTGGAGAAGGCTGAGGTTCTGAATGACTTCTTTACCTCGATCTTCACTGGCAAAGGCTCTGACCGCACCACCCAAGTCTTGGAAGGCAGACACAGGGACTGTGAGAATGAAGACCTTGGGCCCACTGTAGGAGACAATCTGGTTCGAGGCGGTCTTAAAAATGTGAACGTGCACAAGTCCATGGGTCCTGATGAAATCGATCCATGGGTCCTGACGGAGCTGGCGAATGAAGTCACTAAGCCGCTGGCCATCATATTTGAAAAATCGTGGCAGTCAAGTGGAGTTCCCAACGACTGGAAAAAGGGAAATATAACCCCCATTTTCAAGAAGGGGAAAATGGATGACCCGGGGAATTACAGACCAGTCAGTCTCACCTCTGTGCCTGGCAAAATCTTGGAGCAGATTCTCCTGGAAGGCATGCTAAGGCACATGAAAAGCAACAAGGTGCTTGGTGACAGCCAGCATGGCTTCACTAAGGGGAAATCCTGCCTGACCAATTTGGTGGCCTTCTATGATGGGGCTACGGAACTGATGGACAGGGGTAGAGCAGTTGATGTCATCTACCTGGACTTGTGCAAAGCGTTCGACACTGTCCCACACGACATCCTTGTCTCTAAAGTGGAGAGACATCAATTTGATGAATGGACCACTCGGTGGATGAAGAACTGGCTGGATGGCTGCACATAAAGAGTTGTGGTCAATGGCTTAATGTCCAGCTGGAGACCAGTAATGAGTGGTGTCCCTCAGGGATCAGTGTTGGGACTGGTCTTGCTCAACATCTTTGGTAGTGACATGGACAGTGGGATTGAGTGCACCCTCAGCAGGTTTTCCGATGGCACCAAGCTGTGTGGTTCGGTTGATACGCTGGAGGGAAGGAATGCCATCCAGAGGGACCTTGACACGCTTGTGAGGTTGCCTGATGCCAACCTCATGAAGTTTATCCAAGCCAAGTGTAGGGTCCTACACCTGGGTCAGAGCAACCCCAGACACAGCTACAGGTTGGGCAGAGAAGAGATTCAGAGCAGCCCTGCAGAGAAGGACTTGGGGGTGCTGGTTGATGAGAAAATGAACATGAGCAGGCTTCAGTGTGTGCTCGCAGCCCAGAAAGCCAACTGTATCCTGGACCGCATCAAAAGGAGCATGACCAGCAGGTTGAAGGAGGTGATCCTGCCCCTTTACTCTGCTCTCATGAGACCTCACTTGAAGTATTGTGTGCAGTTCTGGTGTCCTCAACATAAAAAGGACATGGAACTGTTGGAACAAGTCCAGGGGAGGGCTGTGAGAATGATCAGGGGACTGGAGCACCTCCCACATAAGGATCAGCTGAGAAAGTTGGGGCTGTTCAGCCTGGAGAAGAGAAGGCTGTGTGGAGATCTCATAGCAACCTTCCAGTGTCTGAAGGGGGCCTATAGGGATGCTGGGGATGGACTCTTCGTTAGGGACTGTAGTGATAGGACAAGGGGTAATGGGTTAAAACTTAAACAGGGGAAGTTTAGATTGGATATAAGGAGGAAATTCTTTCCTGTGAGGGTGGTGAAGCACTGGAACAGGTCGCCCAGGGAAGTTGTGAATGCTCCATCCTTGGTGGTGTTCAAGGCCAGGATGGACGAGGCCTTGGGTGATATGGTTCAGTGTGAGGTGTCCTTGCCCATGGCAGGGGGGTTGGAACTTGATGATCTTAAGGTCCTTTCCAACCCTAACTATTCTATGATTCTATTATTCTATGAAGTTATGTTAGCCAGCAAGTATTTCTTTTATCATTGCCAGAAGTTTGTCATGTGTTGACAGTAATGTAACTTTGTGAGTTGCTACTCAGTATCGTATAAGAAGATAATCTTTCTTGTTTGTGAGTTGTGTCCATGTTTGAAACTTTCAAGTTAACGCCTCCTGCTGCTATTCTGGGAGTCATCTTTTCTTTAACTTGAGTCCTTCCCTGCCCTCTCAAGTGATACTACTGTTATAGAATCAAAGTTTGCTAAGAAAACATGCTAGAGATCAGTCAGAATTATAGTATGTCAGAACTGGAGATAGAAAATCTGGATGGTTTTCAGTTCATCGCCATGTCCTTGTAGTGCGTTTGCGTTATTCTCCTCAGCAGAGTAGATAAGGTGATGAAGCTCTGGCAATCTGACTACTCTGAACTTGTCTGGATGCAGCTGCTTCCTTCTAATAGTTGTACTTTTTCAGTATTTCTGGTAAGCTTTTGGCATTTCTGTTGCCTTACCCTTACATTGTTCGGTGAGGCAAGGGTAAGGCTCCATGTTGGGGTTAACCAGTGTATTTACTTTAAATATTACTTTGTCAAAAAGTCAGAAATCTTACTCTTGTTATTTATAGTTAGTGTAGTTCTACAGAGTCAAAAAACATTTGTTAAAAGTGTTAAAAAACATTTAATGGTGGTTTCCTGGAAGATTTCTAATCAGTTTACAGCATGGGGCATTAGAAACAGCATACAATTATTATTCTTTCTCTGTTGCAGGTTATAGGTAGCTGTAACTGCTTATGGCTTTCTAACTCTTGGTTTCTTTCAGTCAGTGGCACAAAGGGTTTGTCAGTCAATGACTTTTTGTCTGGTTTGGAAAGTTCTGGATGGCTGCGTCACATCAAAGCTGTGTTGGATGCTGCTGTCTTCCTAGTCAAGGTAACTTGCGTGCTGCTGCTTTGTTTGATAGGAGGTTGACTTGCCACCAGGCAAGTACAGTGTAAAATTGTAATTTGTACAGTGTAAAATTCTGCAACTGACCTTTTTGGAGGTAGGTGCTTACTATATAGATACATTGATACACTATTTTAAGTGGATTTGATTTGAAATGTTGAATATGCCAGCTGATGTTTTGGGGTATTTATTTTCTTAATGCTCTTTGGTCACCTTACTGGGAGATGAAGTGATTTTTATGTTGCCTGGCCCATTTAGGTATTTATGAAAGTTGTAGCCAGTTTGGTGGTAGATGGAGCAAATTGTTATTTAGTGTACCCTGAAAACCAGAACTCCTAGGGTTGGAGAAGCCTAGAAGAAATGGTAGAGAAGCCAAACTGGCTACGTTGACTTCATTGGTCAAGGAAATGGGGCTCTTTATGAAGAGTCTTTGCAAGGCACCTGTGAAGCCAGTAGCTTGACCTGAGGGGGGCTGAGTGAAGAAACAAAAACGAGATCGTTGTTGTTACTGAGAGAAAAAAACAGGAGTTACTTTAGTTCAAAGTGGACAATTGCCCTGAAGGTGACCCTCCAAAATACTTCCTAGCCATTAACTTCTGTGTAATTTGATGAACAAGTGGGTATCGTCAATGACGTGTGGTGTTCTGGGCTTTTTAACCTGTTTAGTCTGAAATATGTAGTACCCTTCTTTCTTACTTTGCATTACTCAGGGGTGTATAAGCTCAGTTTTATAAGGGGTGGAAAGAAAACTTGGAATCACTGTAGATGTTCTTGTTACCTTGTGCAAAGGTGGTAGTGGAATTTCTTTTCTTTATAAGGAATTTTCTATGCTTCCATGGAGAAAAATTCCTAGTCTTCTGATAGTGTTAAATCCTTTTCTCATAATAAACATTTTTCTGGTTTTGTAAAATAAAATGGTCTGTGCTGTTAGTTTGGGATAAATGTAGCTATTGTATTTATTGACTACATTTTGACTACTGCCTGGAACAGAACATTCACTAAGAAACAGCTGTGTCTTGCAGGCAATAGCAGTTGAGAGCGCAAGTGTATTAGTGCACTGCTCAGATGGCTGGGACAGGACTTCCCAAGTTTGTTCTCTTGGAGCTCTCTTGCTAGATTCCTATTACAGAACAATCAAAGGATTCATGGTAAGCAAGGTTTTGCATTGTTGATTTGTTTCTTGGTAAATAAGGGATGTAATAAAGTACTTGAGTAAGAAAGGAAGCAGTGTAAACCTACTGATGCTTTTTTTGGATTTGCAGTATACTGATAAATCTTTCTTTTAGAAATACTTTGCCCACGGGAAGAAGCATTTATTTAAAATCAAGAAAACTGAAATGGAAATAGTGTGTTGCTCCAGGCACCATGCAGAAATGTTGCAATGATTGTCTTTTGCCTCCAAAAACAAACCCCTTACTTATGACATAAGGATTCCAAAGTGCTTAAGTGAGATAGTACATCTACTAAATTATAGCACCTCTGTGCTTTTGTCACTGGCCCCCAGATCAACAGTATTAAAATCTAAAAATGAGAGCTCCCCCAGTAACAGAGAAGAGAAAATCTTAAAGCAATTTACGTTTCTTCACCTTTCTATACAGAGGAAGAATATTTTTGGAAGAATTATTCTGAATTTTAGAGTAGGAAAATCAGTAGTATTCTGCAGTGGTAATTTATGGTGTTTTGGGAAGTCCTGAAAGTACATAAAGGTAGTTCCGTGTGTTGATTGGAGCTAACTGTTTCCTTTTGTTTTGGTTTGGTTTTTACTCTCTAGGTCTTGATAGAGAAAGACTGGATTTCTTTTGGGCACAAGTTCTCTGACAGGTAGTTCACTCTTCCAATACTTCAAAATGTATTTTTTTTTTTTAATAATTAAAAATAAATTAAAACACAGTGAGCTTAACTAAGTATTCTTAAAAAATAATTTAAAAAAGACAAATTGTGGATTAAACTACTGCAGTGTTGCTAGAAATCTTGCAATGAGTAAGCTATTTTCAGTAGACAACACACTTTGTGTATTGTTATTTATTCAAATACCTACTGGATAATAGATTTATATTATAGACATATGTCTAGTACTACTGATGTTTCACTCTTGGATGTTGATGACTGCAGCTAGGTCTGCACATATGCAAAATCAGTCTAAAGCTACATCCTAGCTATTTAGGTAATATAAAATACCATTGATATCTTTAAAAATGAGTGTACATTTATTCTTGCTTTTAATGATGAAGCCTACCTTTAGAAGTCCTGTATGTTTTTCTCTTGATCTGCCTATCATAAGCTATGACAATACCATTGCTACTATTTACTGCTTATTAATTTGCTTTTAGCTAATGCACTCCAAATATGTCTATGGAAGTAATAGACACAAAGGAGCTTAACTGTCTTATGTTGCTGTTCTGTACTGAATACAGATGTGTGATTACTTACAAGTCAGAAAAAAGGTTAAATATAAACTTATTTCTATTCAGAAATTGTCCCAGTTCTCCAAGTTAGCTGCTTAATATCCAACCAAAGCTAGTGTCAAATTAATATGCTGTCACTTTTAAAATAAGGGCAACTGAGACTTTTTTGATTTTAAACTTAAACTGGTTTTAATCTGTTTATGGGATCTTTTTTCAGGTGTTCTCAGCTGGACGGTGATCCAAAAGAGATCTCCCCAGTGTTCACCCAGTTTTTAGAAAGTGTGTGGAATCTGACTGAGCAGTTTCCACAAGCCTTTGAGTACAATGAAGCTTTCCTCCTTCAGATCCATGAGCATGTCCATTCATGTCAGTTTGGCAACTTCATTGGAAACTGCCAAAAAGAGAGAGAAGAACTAAAGTAAGTAGATGTTATTGTAATGTATCTTATTTATTCTGGGAGCTAAGAACTCCTGTAAATATTCTTCATTTTAGGCTCTGAATAGAAATAGAGGCAGAATTGGTAGTACTGAAAATGATGTTGATCAGCATTAGGGAACAGCAGTGCTTCTTATGCCTTTGCACACTGAAGACAGGTCTTTCTAATTCTGGGGAAAAATCCCGTGTATTTTTTTCATAGGGAAATTAAGGCTTATTCTGCTCCTACCACCCAAAGGTAAGCTAAAGTTTAGAAGCATCACTTCATTCCCTGCCCCAGTCTATTCTTAGGTAACCTTAAAATTCTTGCCTGCTCAAAACTAATTATTGTCAGTTAGAAGTATAAATAGGATGTCTCCTAATGCTTTCAGCTAGAAAACTTCTGTAAAGTTTACATCAGTTCATCTTTGTCTCAAACTGCACTTTAAAGGATTTATCGCAAAACTTGCACAGCATAAACATTAGTACCTAATTACAGTAATACTGACGGTTCTAGCAAACATTAGGATAGGCCAGGAAGAAATTGATTTTACTAAGAGTTTTTAATTCAAGATTTATAAGTATTTCTGGTAAATTTAAAAAGATTGATTTTTATTATGCTGAGCTGTACAGCTTTTGTTTTTTGCTTGCAATAAAAGTTTTGACTTTGATCTTTCCTTGCTTTAAGATTAAAGGAGAAGACGTATTCCTTGTGGCCAGTCCTTCTGGAAGAACAGAAGAAATATCGGAATCCTCTGTATAATCCAGACTTTTCTCCAGAACTAACTCTTTTGGAGCCAAATACAGTATCATTCAATTTTAAGTAAGTTTGAATTATATACAGTATCACTTCTTCAATTTTGTCTTTATCATGTGTAGTTAAAACTGTCTGCTTTGTGCAGGTTTTGGAGAAACATGTACCATCAGTTTGATCGAAGTATGCATCCCAGGCAATCTGTGTTCAATCTTATAGTGAATATGAGTGAACAGAATAAACAACTGGAAGAAGACATTAAAGAACTGGAAGCTGTAAGTATTAAAAAAAATAAGTATGTGTACTTGTGACTTAAAATTTACACTTGCACACTATAATAATGCTGCTAGCTTTCACATGAATGTCACTACTGCATGGCCTAGTGTTGACTTTGACTTTCACCGTATGCCTCTGTGATGAATGCCAGACTATGCAGCCAATGTAGCTGTGCTGCTAAACCAGGGAGACTGAAAAGGTTTTATTTCCATTATAGCTACTAAAATGGAAGCAGTAAGTATTGTCCTTCTTTTAAATTCATATGCAGGTGCATGCTCTTATAAGTCACTAATTATGGGGCATGTACGTTGTAATCCTTTTTTGAAGGCAGAGATCAGATGTCTAGAAATGATTTCTACTAGGTGCTACAGTAAACCAGGAAACATTGAACAGCGTATCTTCTGTTAGTATGACTTAATTAGTGGCTTTTAATTGATACTGTGTTGTAGTCAGTTAAGGTGTTGAAACTTCACAATAACACTTTTTAAGAGATACGAAAGTTTTCTAGTTAGGAGTTTTAATTTTTTATGTATCTAGAAGTGGTAACACAACTCCTGTCTGCTATGTTGGGGAAGGGGTGGAAGGAGGGAAGTACAGATTTTCTAGGAGGAAAGATTCTTATTGAACTGATCCTACTATAATGAAATTAATATAGGTCACTTTGTTTCAAATGTTAATTGCATATTTAAAAGTTTTTACACTATTGAAGCAGCAAGATGAAAACCCAAGATGAAGCGAGCTGAAGGGATAAGCAAGATGTAAAGTCTCAGTTCTGAATTTTCTGTAACTGTGTTCCAAAGTGTTACCTTCACCTGATCCCACATTTCTCACCTGAGTGATGAAGAGATGTAATTGTTGCTTGAGCTCTCAATGTAGGCTTTCCTACTCCTGTTTCAAAACATTCAAAAAATTGGATGCCAACAAACACCAGAGTCTTCTGGCTCAGCCTCAGTTCTAATAGGGCACAAACACAGTCAACAAAAAAAAAAAAATCAGTTCAGTTAACTAGTTCACGTTACTGGGTGAGATTGTTTGATTGGAGAAAAAAAAACCCAACCCAAAAAAACCCCACCACAAATTCCCAAACCCTTACTCAAAATGTTTCCTCTTCTTTTGCTCTGTGCTTACAGGATAGGTCCTTTCCTCCAGTTCTGCTTTCTAATTTTCATCTTTTGATGTATTCCTGCATTTGGATAAACTGTATTGGCATTTTTCAGATCTAAAATAGAAGTCTTTAGAAGTTTTATTGGGAAGGATATAAGGGCTTAGGTGTGAAAGTTGCTCTTTTGTCTTCAAGAGTCTTGTGATCTACTGTCAGCTGCCTGCTTGCTAATAATACCAAATCCTGTCTTCTTCTGCCTGTACTCCAGAAAGTATTCCCATCTTGATGGTAACCCAAAGAAGGGACAAGCCTGGAAGAACCTGTTTTTTTCCGTGGACATTGACAGGCAACCTTTCTGCCTTCTGCTTAGTTTGCAAATCTTAAGCGCAGTGGTCACAGTATCTGCTGTAAACTGTGGGGAAAAAGGTGTTAGCCAGTGGCCTGACATTTAATAATACTGTTACATTTCTAACCTAGGGTATGTAACACAGGGTTTTGCAGATGCTGACTTGGCCAGCAAAAGAAGGGGATTCACCCTTTCAAAACAGAATATTATCAGTCATGCTCACTGTTAGCAACTATTCTCTGTATTTCAGAAAATAAAGCAGAGAAATGGGCAGCCAGATGCAGTCCTTGTGAAGGAACATCAGCAGCCTGCTCATCCTGCACCCACGGCACTGAAGACCCCGCCATGCTTCAAGAAGGAGCAGCCACTGATCCCTGTGAATGATACTGTAAGAACTATAGAGGGCAGCAACACAGCAGACAATCGCTACAGTGAATTCGTGTCAGAGTTCTCAAAAGCTGAGCCTGCTGTTGTCAGCTTGGAGTATGGCGTGGCCAGAATGACTTGCTAATTAAAATCCAGCACTGTGCTCCTCTTCTTAGACTGTTTGAATTAAGAGATGGATTATTTTGAGGATGGGTCTCTGCTGCATGACCAAAACATGATTTGTATATCAGCAAGTTTTGTTAACATAGACTAGAGCAACATGCCAGTTGTCCCATGTTTGCTGTTCTTTTCAGGAAAAAATGTGTAGCTCTTTTTTTAAGAGATGGGGGCAATCGGTAAGTAGTGACTAAAAATCCAGGAATGGTATGTCTTTGGACTTAAGTCAGTTTGCACTAAATTCATTAAAATAGTAATATTACTTTATTCAATATAGGAAAACACAGGTGGTCTTTCACAAATTGATTTTATTTGGGCAAGTAAACTTGAACTTTCTATTTTAGGAACTGAAGCTGCATGTATATATCATGTATAACATAAGTATGTATACCCTTGTTTAATGTCTCCCAGTACTAACATTCAGCGTATTAAGTGCCATGGGAAAGCGTGGTATATTTCAAATCGTAAATAGTTGGCCTTAAAACTGTCAAATCAATGATATTGTCCTTTACTACTGCAGTCTACATGGCTCTGTTTACATTGTATTTGCTTAAATTATTTCCTTAAAACAGGACTGAATATAAGGAATGAAGTATGCCTAACCTGGCGCTGCCTTTCAGCAAATAGCTTTATGAATGTTATCACCGAAGACTGTTCTTTCTTCCATTTCCTCTGGTATTTAAAATGTAGTAAATTGGCCTGATTTTCCTCTCTGGCAGCTCAGTAGATTAAGCATCACTGAAGCTACAGGTTTTCTGATCTTAAATGTCTTGATTTGTGGCAAGGTATTTAAGTGTAGAATGAAAAGATTAAAACATATCATGTAAGAAAACAAAATTTAGCCAATAACTGAATAGTCACGTTCATTCAGATTGTTTATTTGCTGTGCAGTTGTTTGAAGTTGCAAGAATGGAAGCAGAAGTTTTGGAAGTGTAGTGTGCTGACACTGTTCCCAAGTAAAAAAGTAATTCACGTGTCTGAAGCTTATGGAAAACCGAGTGCCTCCTAAATCATTAGTTTTAGTTATTAGTGAAACCCTGTTCTCATCTTGCAAAAATGTGTCCAACCTGTACATGTATAAAGTAATTTCAGTGCAATCTAGAGCTGTTTATGTAGTTAGAGAGAGGACAAAATCCTCTAGTAAGATGCAGTAGAGATCATGAGACATAAGAGGAAAGAAACAAAAGGAAACTGAGTTTGTAAGTTTAATTGTGCATCTGTAAGCTTCTAGTAAGGGAAGAGGGTTTTGCTGAGGTTTGTCTCACAGATTTGCTGAGCAGATTGCTGATGCCCAGCTCTTAGAGGTGTAAGTTACAAGTTTGGGTATTACAATCCCTGAATGTGACTTTTTGTGACAACTGAAAATGAGTCTATTCTCATCGTAGTCCCTGAAGTCTGTTTGGTTAAAATTACTGGTGTGCCACACACAGGTTGATGTAATGGGCAGCAGTGTTTCCCTCTGCACCATATTGGATCCAGGACTCATAACAAGGCCAGTATAGGTCATGATCAAGTTGCACTTGTGAAGCTGTCTGGGAGAAATTAACTGTGACTCCTGTATTTGACAATTAATTCACCCTTTTCACTAATTTGTTTTTTAAAAGCCTCTAAGTGTAAATAAATGCTCTAAGTAATTTTATTCCCAAATATATGAGCATAGTGTCATCTTTAAAATACATTATTCAGTCATTTGAACACATTTAGAATTTCTCCACTACAGGTTTTGATACTTTCACATTTGCACAGTGGTGCCTTACAGGTTTGCAGCAAGAGCGGTTTTTGTGCCTTGTTATTTGTTGTCTCGGCTTCTCCCTCGCCTTCTGTACCAACTTGGTTCTGTGGTTTTCCTTTGGAAAAACATATATGCAGCTTGTATCACAGTAGTGAAACAAGTTTATTGCTGACAATATAGGTAAGTTATCAATTTATACTTGTTTTAATATTTAGCTGCTCTGGTGTGCCATGTACACTTTTCATATTTATTGTTTATAGACTCCAAAGATTATATTAAGCTTTTTTGCAAATATTGTTGTATGTTGTTTTTACTTTAACTGAGTGCCCCTGTATATAAGGCATTTGAAGAGAAGATCTGTTCCCTTTCAGTATTGTTAAAGTGAGTTTATTTCAGTCTTCAGGCTTTTTTTTATTGGCAGAGTTCACTGCTTGGCAAAAGGACTTGAGATGTTTTTGTATGTTAAATCAAGGTATGTTAGGCCAGCTTGAGAATCCTATAGAACTATCTGAAGAACCTGTTTCTTCACCAAAAAATACAATACTTCCTGATCTAAAGTAAATATTTAGTTAATGTGAATTGAGCTTTATAAGGTCATTTTGTGGAGCAGCCTTCCTGTAAGGCCCAGATAGCTCTGCCAACTCAGACCCCAGGGTCACAAGTGAGAAAAATTCCTGTAGAGAGGCAGCTGTCTCTTCTCATTTGCTATTTAGGCTTAAGCCAATGCTACCTAAAGCATGTGGGATCTGTGGTGAAGTAAATAGATGGTAGCGAAGTGAGCTCCAACAGAAAACTTGGCAGGATGGCTGGGACTCAGCACAGTGGGGCTGTTCTGTGTCCTTCAGAAAGGTTTAAAGAACATCAAGCAAGCTGACTAAAAGAAACAGTGGCAGAAGCTTCCTGGGAGCAGAATAAAATTTAATTTCAGTTTGTCTTCTTCATGAACATGCTGCTCCGAGAGCAGTTACAGTACTGAAAGGTGCCTGGTACAGATCAAATAACACGCAGAACTGTTTCATGCTGTGGCAGTAACGTGTGGTTACACTCACCAGTTGCTTGGGAATATAATGTCCCAGATAGGAAGTTGCTGTATTTGGTTCTGTGCCATCAGTTGTGCAACTTTGGCACCTGTCGATTCAGTACTTCGTCTTGAGAAGGTCTTAGTGTTAAGTCTGTGTGTTTCTGTGTTTGGTCCTGTGCTTGATCTTTTTCCTAATCTGAATGCTATAGCAAATAAGTAATTCCTTTTGGTTAACCAAGCTGATAGTCTCAGTTGAGGAGCAAAAACTGATTTTACTTTATACTCCCAGCAATTTAAAATATTTATTTCACTAGTACCGGAAGAGTGGGGCTTGGGTTTTGGGAGGCTTGCTATAGTCATAATGTATTCCTCAATACAAGTTTAAATATCCAACTGTTCTGTTTTGTAGGACAACTGCCAAATCAACAGACTAAGAAATTAATTAAGCAACACTGAACTGAGCCTGGTCATTTTCCACACATGTCCAATTACTGGTGACCTAAATCTAGGCCTGAAGTCTGGAGAGTCCATTTAGAGAATTGGAATAGCAGTCCCTCCATAAAAATGCACATCCCTATGTGGAACAAATACCGTAATAAAATGGTTTTTTAGAGAAAAAGTTATACCAGATCAAACTGTGACAGTTTGATGTGTCTCTTCCCAAGGACAAGCACACTGGGGAATGCCTTGCTGGGGAAGGTGATGTGTTCTTCCTGTGTAGCTGCTGTTCTCATAAAGCCTTTTGATGAAGTAGCGTATCAGCAAATCTATGAGAACTTGCTACTCGCGTTCTGGTAAACCAAGCACATAACTGGTTACACAGTTGAGCTGAAGAGGGGCTGGGGTAGCTCAGCTCAACTACTATCCTCTTAGTAGTAAGAGTAGTAACTGATAGAATGAAATTTGATATTAAAATAGCACAGGGCACATGCTATCAACATCTGTTTTTTAGAGGCTTGCCCTGTTCTTGAGCAAGTGTGGCTAGCACAAGGGCTTTGCATAAGTATGACAATTCCTTTCTAGTTAGTTTAAAGATAATCTGATTTTTGAACTAGATCATACCTCCACAGTGGTAATTTATAGATCTGTAGGTCAGAACGTAAAGGTTGCTCTTACCACTTGTTTAGTTGCTAATGGTTCTAAACTTGTAGCTGGTAGTAGGCTAAGTATACTGGTCGTGAAACCTATAATAACTTTTAGGATTAGATGTTTAGATTAGACTAAAGTCTGCTTTGACTTGCTTTCACTACTTATGCCACACTTTTCTCCAAGTGCTGCTTATATTGTGGTATTTGATATGTCAGCTGTAACACGCTTCTTAATGCTTTGGATGTTTTAAAAGCCTGGAAGTACTGAATCTTCATTCTGAAGGCTTGGGTCAGCCTTAGTGAGCAGTGTGGGTGAGCTCATTTGATCTAGCTAGTTTGACCTGCCTACATGTTAAATAGCATTGAAAATCAGCATGGCATCATAATTCAGTGGAGCAACTTCTGTATGTGCAATAGGCTTAAGGAAAAGGATGTAGTTGGGAACCCTTGTCACAGCATGTAGCAAGAAACAGGACCCTGCTGGGGTATGACTCATGGAAGATAGAGCAGTTTTGATGTCCACCAGCAGCTTGGGGACTGAAGTTAGAAGGTCAGAGGCGTGCTGCTTCTGAGATCAGTTTCCAGGTCCCAGAGAATTCAATGACCTGGTCTGTTAAGCACCTGTGGCTGAGCAAATCTGCATTGGCATCAAGCGCCAGAAGTTATATATATATATGGTCTGTGTTTCTTAATCTACTGACTTCAAGTAATACATGTCCTGGTGGTGACTTGGAAATTGGGGTGCAATATTTTGTTTGTTCTTGTTTATAGCTTAGCTTCTGAGGTCAGTTGTATAGTGTTTATAATTAAGTGGGATTAAATTTAATGACACTATAAAAGTGCTTCTCCTCTTAATGACAGGTTGGCATGTGCATATACTGTGCTTTGTATCTCTGCATATATTTCTACTGAATGCTTTTCTTGCAGTCTAGGCAGCCTTGGTGAAGTCTCATGCTGCCCCACATTGGCATTCCTCATTACCAAGCATTACAGGTTGGTTTCTTTGCTCTGTCTTACTGTCACTCTTCACTCTTACGGTTTATCTTTATGGCTGTCTGTTGGCAGTGTTCTTTGGCAAACATCTTTCCAGCAAAGAAAATGAGTTTGTTGTTTTTCTGTGTCTCAGGGATTTTTTTACCCCTGAATTAGTGAACTTGAAAAATAAAGCTTAATCTCCCTTTAGGGGCTACTGAGTGCCTGTTGACTTCCACAGTCAGTTTACTTACGCATTGTAACTTCAGACCTGGCTATTAAAAACAATAAAATTCAAATGTTGGATGTAGCAAAGAGAAAGAAAACTGTTTTCATTGTAATGTATCTGGAAAGACTGGCTGTTTCACTAACATTTATTGCTCCATGTTGTAATGTTCTCTGTAATAAAGTTACTTACCTGTGTGCTGGGATCACGCTTCATGGATATTCCTGAAGAAACTTCAGCAAATGGAATTTTGTAATAAGTATTTTATTTGTATGTGTTTTGAAAATCCATACAGCTTGAAATAAAATGATCTTAATATTGCCAATCTAGCTGGTGTTACATAGTCCATTTATCATAGCAGCATATGAACTTAAATATTGAATAAATTTAGGTTTATGGATGAATCATATCTGGTACGGACCATAGCGTACAGAAATGACTTGGCCTATTAGTTTCTTGAATGATTCTGTAATTTTTAAATATGGGAGCCTGGCTCAACTTCATGTTACTGACCCTGGTCTATTAATTACTGGCCAAGCAGTTACTGACTGCCGGTCTATTAATTGCAAACACTATTCTGGGCTTAATTAGAGTTAAGTGTTAGGAAAAGAGAAGAGGGGTTTCTGCTTACTTAGGATTACCATTACTCTGTACTTGGTAATCCAGATTAGTGTGTTCAGCAGCTTCAACAAATCTGGTTAGGAAATTGCAGTGTTTCTCTGAAAACACTAACTCTCTTCTCAGTGGTTCTTCCATTAACTATTAAGAATGGTTTTATTTTTTAGTTCTGAGGCTTCTTAGGACTGTACAGCTGTATTCTTCATTTAGATAGCAATTGTTCTTTGTTACAGTAATAAAGCTCTCCTTATCTAGTACTTGCTGCACAATGCTCAAACTCCTTCCAGAAGCATTTTGCTCACGTTTTTCATCCACATCCAACTCCACTTTGATCTGCACTGACGATATGGTTCTCTCCATAGCACAGATGGAAAATAATGTACTGGAGCATTGGACTATGCAATGTATAGCCAATATTGTGATCTTTATTACAGAATGGGACCCTCCTGCGGTAGGTAGATGCAACTTAGAGGGCTCTCTTCAATCTGTTCGAGGTTTTTATTTGAGTGGCGTCTTTTTCAGGTAGGCAGGAAACCTGGAATGTGCTGGAACCCTTCAGATATCCTGGAATATGCTGTAGGAGAATCTGGTTAGTACTGTTTGGGCAGCATGTCAAAACTCCTGCCAATCCATAGCAGTATGTTTAACCATGTGCCACAACAATCACAACATCTGCCAGTGGGGTTCTGTATCCAGTGACAGCAGCTGCTACATGAAGTGCATGTTCATGTTCATCTACATGTCCTTCTAGTGCATGGATACTAACTGGATGTAGTGGAGGTGCAGAGTTTCATGTGTGCCTATGTAATTAGAAGGAACAGCTAAGTTTATTTTCAGCTTTTAGTATAGCCTAAAGGCTATGCTGACTTAGTCCAGGGAGCATTTATTGTTATAGCTACAAAAGGCAAAAATGGAGATGAATGTGTGATTCTTGACTTTTGTGGTGGCCACCCTGGGCTGTGGGAGGAAGGGCTGATATTGCAGTGGCTTGAAGGCTTTGATGATGGTTGAGCTACTTCCAGAATCTGATGCAAGCTCGAGTGATCCTAAAAATACTGCTCTCTGCTGTGTTTATTTGTCCATCCCTGAAGTGGCCTGGGTGAAACACTAAAGATGGCTGTGTTCTTGCAAGATGCTGCCTCAGCACAAGGCAAGACTGTTCTCTGAGTATTCAGGAGTGTGGATGTTGTTCAGACACCTTCCTTACCTGTGACACTAGCTTCCTGTGGGAGCCACTCCATGAAAGCCTCAGGCTGCTGTAGCTTAGTGCTGTGTTTGAGATTCATTTGAAAATACTTCAGTGGAAGAAACGCTCTCAGTGCCTGGATCCTTCTTTAATTTCTAATCCAACTTCAAGCTTTTAGTAAACTTTTTTCCAGTAATATGCTGGTGAAGAAATGATTCTTAAACCGAATGTTGACTTCTCTGCTTGGTTGGTGGACTTTGCATGTGTATTTCTAGGTTACCTACTTACCCATGAGGTTATGCAAGTGTAGTATTAGTCCATAATGTGTTTGGGAGGTTAAAGTATGTCTACTGTGATAAAATAATAACTTTGATTGCTTTTTTTCTCTTGAATGCGAGAAGGACAGCACATGAACAGGCAAAAATATTACAATTATTTTATATCATTTATTTGAATAGTTTTTAAACGCTCATTGTGGGTGCAGAGAATGTTAAAGGGCACTGGTGACAGCTATTAGGAAGCATCCTGGAAAGGACTGATTAGTGGAAGAAAAAGGATGAATGTTTATGCATGTGGTCAATCCACATTTAAGGAGGGTTTGGTTTTGTAACTCTGCTTCGTAAGTGGTTTAAATCCCAGCCTGAATGCATCCAGAATGCATGAGGTTAGTAGCATCCCAAAAGAAGAGTACAAGCACTTTTAACACCTGGTGCTTTATGAAGACAAAGCTTTGTAAATATTAATTTAGTGGTTCTTTTTAAAAATTTATGACTTTGAATGTTGACTTTGAATGTGTTTTGGGGCAGGAAATGCAAAGGGGGAGCATGGAGCACAACTGGATGTAACAGTCACTACAAATCTTGTGAAACATGGTGCAGAGGAGAGCACTGAGGTTTTGGTTAAAACCAGCTGTAAAAACCAAAGAGGCTGAACTGTGCTCTAAATCCTTTGCTGCTGCTTATATCCCATAGCACACAGGTCCATCCACAGTGCCAAGGGACAGCCTGGGAGAAGAGACATAGCCGGTATCTGGCTGTTTTCTGATACTCACCAAGAAAAGGGAAGGAAAGCTGCTACACAGGCAGAGATCACGTGAAGGAGATTGCATACCAAGAGTGGGTCATGAGGTTGTCGGAGAATGAACTTCTACTTAGGCTGATGCAGGAGAGAGGCTGGTCAGCTGGAGTTCAGCAGTGGGGAAAGGATTAGGGTTAGTAATAACAACTACTTGAACTGACTGGTGTGTGAGGTATTGTATAGAATAATTGAGCTATTTATATAACCCTAGAACTGAGTTATATATAGCCGTAAAAACTGAAATTCCCCAGTCTCAGTTTGGCTTGTTCTATTTCAGGATGAGAATCCATATGCAAAATTCTCCTTTGCTATCCTAGAGGCTCGCCAGAAGTTTATTTAAAGAGCACAACTTGGTAGATTCTGCTCTCTTATCTGCAAATTTGCATTGAATCCTATATGCTCTGTTGTTGTTAGAGCTCTTGTGGCATTTCAGTTTCTGGTAATTTCTACTATTTTCTTGTTTTTTCTCTCTTATCTGCCTATATGAAGTCAGACTCCAAGCACTAAAGGTACCCCAGAGGTTAGCCAAAGGACAGTGGGTTACTACTGAGCTGCTTGTCTTGCTATGAGCTATCCAAGTCAGCAAGGTAGAAAACCACCACTTGGCTTTTCTAGCAACAGTACTCTGTGCTTGGTCTGAGCTGCAGAACAGTGCAGTAATTTGGAAACCAGTATTATGGCAGGTCTGCAGAAGAGGTGCTCACCTGACCCCATTCTGAAAAGGACCATTAGGCAAGTGCTGGAAGAGCAGCTCTTCTGAGCAGCACTTGAGGATGTGAAGTGTGGTACCCTGTCATTGTGAGGATTAGGGAGAGCTGCTCTCATTTACTGCAATTAAAAGGTGTTCTGAAACTGTGCTGCTCCTGCTCAGTCTGTTGCTTTGTAGGCTTATTAGTGTAACAGATAATGGGGTGCCTTTAGTGCTAAACAGGCAGCGTGTTTATTGAGGATGTGCTCTTGCCCTTGGGAGGCTTTTGGAAATTGGTAATCACAGCCTAGAAAGAGCTGAGGCATCTCTGGTCTCACAAGGTCAAGGGAACTTGCTTTTCTAGCAGTGTTTGGCCATTAGATAGAATTACAGCTACAGCACTGGGAGAGTCTCTACCAGCTCCAGAGAGAATTTGGGGCTCATTATTAAATTGTGTTTGCCTCTTCCATAAATCTTCATGTTAATTCCTGTTTCCAAATTAAGGAAAAGCTCCTCTCCAACCTCTGGCAGAGGTTGAGCTAAACTGAGTTTTTCACTTCAGACAAAAAATACTCTACATTTGGCTCCAAATTCCAGTATGCTTTACAGGAAGGGGAAAGAAAAATAAAATTCAAGATGCTCCTGTGTCTCTTGAATAGATTTTGGATTAACTGTAGCAATTTAAAACTGGCAGCACTTTGTGTAAAGCATCTTTTTAATCCATATAGTTTTAAGACAGAAAAGAAAATATGACATCTTTTGGCTTATAATTCTGAAAATAATACTGGGGATTTGATGTAATTTTCTTCATACTTTTCTTTATAGTGCATTAACACAACCTGAAGAGGGTAAGCAAAGCTTCTCTAAAGACAATATAAGAAACACTATGGTCTCAACGTTTGCCACTTTGTTAGGAATAAGGTGGTTGTCTGCATGCAAGGATTGTCTCAAAATACTCAATTGTCTTAAAGATGTGCCTATCCGGATGCTCTGTGGAGGCAGTGATCTGTTTTGGGTTAAGGAAGTGATGTCTTCACAATCTCTTTTTTGCAATTATTTTTTACTTTGTGTGAAATATTTTTATTAATATCAATCAAATAATGTAATCTGTGATAGTAACATGTTCTCCACAATGCTTTAATTGCCCATTCTGAAGTGCAAGTCTTCAAATATGCTGAAGTCTAGGAGAGGGCACTGCCAAGCCTTTATACTCTGGTTCATATTAACAAACTAAACAAAGCCTTGTTTTGCTTTTAAACCTTCATTAAGGATGAAGGGCTTAGCACAGAGATGCATTAATGAGATACTCATCCAGCTGCATCTCTTCTTTAGGGACCCTGGCTCTCTGGACATAAAGCTAAGCAGAATCAGGGTGGGTTGGAGAGAAGAGCGCTTCTGCAGCAAAACTCTATCAAAGCTAAGTATACCTTATTACTAGAACATAAAACACTTGGAACCGGTCTTTATGGTGGCTTGAGAACTGGAATGTTAGCTATTGTTAATGTGAGTTTGAGAGGCACCTCTCAACAACACTGTGTTTAGTTGCTTGTTTTTACTGCCATTCAAATGACAGTGTGATTGGAGACACACACCCATGGTTGTCCTTGTCCGATGGGCTTTTATGTGCCATTCAGACTGAGCTGGAACTAGGGAAAGAGCCGGAGGCCACTTACATAATGCAGTTATGCTGCTGTGACATTAGTGTTTCCAGCTGTAATGCTTGAAAGTGCCAATAAATCATTTTTTCTCTTTCTGTTGTA